TGATCAACTATCACACTGAAAAACGCATGCGCAGTCAACATGACTCAGCTCAGCCAAAGACCTGTATAATTTGCCGTCTCCGCCTTAGTTCTCTAGGATTTATATTCAGAATCAACATCTTTTTTATCGAACAATAAGTAGGAAATCAGCATTATAGTGTAATATAAAATTCAAAAATATAGAATAAGGATATTATCAAAAGTTATTGCATTCAAATGAGTACTATAAACCTGTTGCTATCATCCCATATGAATAAGCTACTATTATATTGTGCCCCTTACTTCAGTATAGAAGAATATGATTAATTTCTTAATCATAAAAAGAATATGGGCTGGGTGTGGTAGCTCAGGCCTGTGATCCTAGCTCTTTGGGAAGCCAAGGTGGGAGGATCACTTGAGGCTAGGAGTTTGAGAGCAACCTGAGCAACGACAGCAAGACCCTGTCTCTACAAAAAATAAAAAAAATTATCCGGATTTGGTGGTGTGCACCTACAACCCCAGCTACTCAGAGGCTGAGGCAGGCAGATCCCTTGAACCCAGGAATTTGAGGTTGCAGTGAGCTGTGATGATGCCACTGCACTCTAGCTTGGGCAACAGAGTGAGACCCTGTCTCTCTCTCTCTCTCTTTCTGTCTCACATACACACACACACACAAAAGAATATGATTAATTGTATGTTATTTTAAAAACCCAAATGCATAAATAAAACATTGTCCACAAAGTGGCACGAACAAATATGCAAATACATTTACATATTTTCTTTAGCAACAGGTGCAACATGGATGTGATTTATATTTAAACAATAGCATATACATGTCAACTTACTAAAAAATTATTGGCCCAAAATACCATTTGCGTTAACATGTATATACATCGTAGTTACCCCATAACAAATTTAATTGACAAAGAAACTAAACTAATTATAATTAAAAATGAATAATCAGCAGCTGACCACCATGACTCCCTCAAGACCACCTCCATAAAGACCTTTCCCTGAATTGCAGGAATTCCACTCCTCTAAGGGATGTTTGACATCAATGATGTCACCAGGAGTTGTGCGGTGGCCAGACTTTCTGGTACAGTATTATTTGGAGTCCTCAGCAAACTCTAGGAGCCTGCTACTTTTCATTTAAAAACATCAAATTTTGGCTGGGCGTGGTGGCTCACGCCTGTAATCCTAGCACTCTGGGAGGCCGAGGCGGGTGGATCGCTCAAGGTCAGGAGTTCAAGACCAGCCTGAGCAAGAGCAAGACCCTGTCTCTACTAAAAAATAGAAAGAAATGATCTGGAAAACTAAAAATATATATATATAAAAATTAGCCGGGCATGGTGGCGCATGCCTATAGTCCCAGCTACTCGGGAGGCTGAGGCAGAAGGATCGCTTGAACTCAGGAGTTTGAGGTTGCCGTGAGCTAGGCTGACGCCACGGCACTCTAGCCTGGGCAACACAGAGAGACTCTGTCTCAAAAAAAAAAAGTTATAATATTTCATTTGAAGAGTTTAAAAACAAAGTAGAGCTAAAATGTCAGATGTGAAAAATATGATTATTTATGGTCAAAATGTACAAAGGTCTTTTTCTTGTTCAGAAGGATTAACTTTAGACTGTGTAAGTAAAGTGTGTATGTGAGAAACGTACAGGTAACCACTAAAACAAACAAACAAACAAAAGACTGGGGGTGGGGGGCAAGGCCCGGGCTGTCATGGTGCTGACACACCAGTGTGGGACACAATGAACAGATGAACAAAGAGAACAAATAAACTGAGACAGTTGTCATTCACTGTAACAGGCCCAGTTGGAGGGCAAATGCATTTCACATGTTGATCATAAATAACACAGACATTTGCAGGGTTAGCGTTGTCCCTTCATGCAGCTGAGGCGATTCCCTCAGGAGGGGCAGGTGAGGAGGGAGGCAGGCGGCAGGAGGAAGGCCTCCTTGAGCCAAATCTTGAAAACAGTGTCCTGAGAGTGGGGACGGGGCTGGAAGGTGGAGGAGGAGTTTGTGTGTTGGGCTCTCCTCAAGCTGTCTGCCCCCAGCCCCCAGGCCACAGACTTGGCCTCCTGCTTCAGAGAAAAAGGAAGCTTTTGGGAATGCACTTTCAGCATCCTGTGCCCACACCCACAGCCTTCTCTCTGACTCCATTCAGCCTCTCTCTCTCTCTCTCTCTTTCTCTCTCTCCTTGGTCCCTTTGTTTTGTTTCTTTTTCTTTCCTTTTATCTGAAGTCTTTTGTTCACATCCTTGGTCCCTTTGGAAAGGGACCTCATTGGTCCCTCATTCTTCTGTCTGGGCCCGGGAGGGTATCTCTTTGCCTTCTGGGAGATTCTTTTCTCCTGTTCCTGTCCTGCTTCTCTGGCTGTTCTTTCTCAACCTCCCTTGCAAGTTCCTCTTCCTCTTTCCTTCCAGTGTGATGCATGGCTTCCCCAGGATCCCATCTCTCCCTCTGGTTTTCTCAGAGTGAATGAGATTCAGTCTTTCCTGAGGGCAGGATGTTTGAGGAGAAAGGGGAGGGAGAGTACAGGAGCACGGAGCTCCTGAGCAGGGAGCACCCTCCAGGTAGGGAGAGGACACCAAGCAGGGAGGACCGATACCTACACTACAGGGTCTTTTTGGTCCTGTAGAAACTTCATCCCTGCGTCCACATTGTATTCAGCTGTAACTATCCTCCAAAGACTTGGGACAAAGATTCTGAGATGTCCCCGCTCCTGCCCATGCCCGGTGTCTAGCATACCCAGCCAAGTGACTTTAAATGTAGGGGATGTAGGGGAGGAGGGAGCACAGAGCCTTTCTCTGGAGATTGTGGCTTGTCAATGGTGGAATTCCAGGTAGCCCTGTACTGTGACAAGCAGACAGGAAAGCTATTTGGTTTCAAGAGTCTTTTTCAGTGTATTTCCCTCCACCTGGCTCCTGCTGGTGCTATGACTGTTACAGGGCATAAGCATCCAGTCTCATCACCTGGAGGCTGGACTCAGTGTCCCCACTGAGGCCTGAGAACCACCTCGAGTGCTTCTTAAAAATGCTGATTCCCGGCCGGGTGCGGTGACTCACGCCTGTAATCCTAGCTCTCTGGGAGGCCGAGGCGGGCGGATTGTTTGAGCTCAGGAGTTCGAGACCAGCCTGAGCAAGAGCGAGACCCTGTCTCTACTAAAAATAGAAAGAAATTAATCGGACAACTAAAAATATATAGAAAAAATTAGCCGGGCATGGTGGCACATGCCTGTAGTCCCAGCTACTTGGGAGGCTGAGGCAGAAGGATTGCTTGAGCCCAGGAGTTTGAGGTTGCTGTGAGCTAGGCTGACGCCACGGCACTCACTCAAGCCCGGGCAACAAAAGCGAGACTCTGTCTCAAAAAAAAAAAAAAAAAAAAAAAATGCTGATTCCCGCGTCCCACACCAGACCTACATATCAGAATTGGGAGTCTAGCAGGGACATAGAACCCTGTATTAAAATGCATTTCAATCCATTTCCCAGGCAATTCAAAGGTAACATTTGAGAAGCCCTGGCTTGGTGGTCACAAGTTAAGGCCCCAGAGTCAGACAGACCTGGGTTTGGCTGTGATTTTTCCGCTTACTAGCTCTGCAACCTTAGGCAAATTATTGAGCACTTTTAAGCCTCTGTTTTCTCATCTGTAAAACAGCATAATAATAATTATTACCTACCTCTACAAAGTTTTCATGAGGATTAAATAAACCGGGGTACGTAAAGTGGTTAGAACTCGTGGTAAGTCAGCACGAAATGCCTGCTAATTTTCAAAGTGTACTTCCATGCTGGGGTTTTCATTATGTGGAAGAAGTTACAGCTAATGACTAAGGTATTGCCAATATTAGAAGTTCTTGAACCATGGTTCTGCTTTCAGTTCTGTTTTGAAAAGAAAGAATTTATCAGCTTGGCGCCAGCACAGCAGAGAAAAGAGAGCGCAGACTCATCAGATCGGACTGAGCAGGACTCTCAGGTTAGTCAATTACTAGCTGTGTAGCCTTTAGCAAATTTCTTAACCTCTCTGACTTCTATTTCCATATCTGTAAAACGGGAGTAACAGTAAAAGTTACAATGAGGACCAAGTGATAACATGTATGTCAGTGGTTCTCAACCTTGGCCTCATATTAGAAATATCTGAAGACCTTTATAATAAAAGCAAACAAAGCCAGGTGCAGTGGTGCATGCTGTTAGTCCCAGCTACTCAGGAGGCTGAGGTGGGAGGATTGCTTGAGCCTAGGAGTTTGGGGCCAGCCTGGGCAACATAGCAAGACCCTGTCTCTAGAAAAAATTTAAAAATTAGCCGGGTGTACTGGCACACATCTGTAGTCCTAGCTATTTGGGAGGCTGAGGCAGGAGCATCACATGAGCCAAGGAGTTCGCCGTTGCAGTGAGCTGTGATGATCACACCAGTGCACTCCAGCCGGTCAACAGAGTGAGACCCTTTCCCTTAAAAAAAAACAAAAAAGAGTAAGGAAATAGATTCTCCCATATGAGCCTCCAGAAGGGACACGGCCTTGCCAGCACTTTGATTTTAGCCCAGCCAGACTTTCCTTGGTCTTCTGAACTCAGAACTGTAAGATAATAAATTTGAGTTATTTCATGCCACTAAGTATGTGGTGATTTGTTAGAGCAGCCCTAGGAAATGAGTTACTTTAGATTATTAAGCAGACTCATTTCAGTTTTTAAAATTCAGTCATGCTCATTTTGAAACTTAACTCAAATCTCTGCCCTTTGCCCCAGTGAGGGGCATGGGAAGAGGCGTGGAGGCTGCCCAGATCTCTCAACAACCCCTTCCCTGCACTTACCTCCCTGGGGTTGGATTGAGGAGGAAAGAGGGAGACAAACAATTTTCCATGGGAAGTCTCCCTTCAGTGGGCCATTACCGCGTGTCTGATTTGTGTAGTGGGTTGGGGGTTCCCAACTGGCCAACCCATGAGGGACTCAACCCCTGGTCTTGGAGGGGTCTCTGTGGTCCCTTGAGAGATGCAGCTGCATCTTTGGGCTGCTTCTCAGCATCGTCTCATGCAAGTACTTCTTTGCCATCCTTCAGTAGCTCTCAGCAGTCCTGCACCCACAATCTTCCTGACCCTCTGCAGCCCCAATTCCAGGCCTGCCGGCAAGGGTAGAACCCAACTTCCATACCTTCCCAGGGCCGAACTTGACCATGCAGCCATGGCGCACCCTGCACTGGCTGTTCTCCCCAGGGCTGGTCTCCCTTCACTGGAAGCACCTTGGCCATTAAACTAGACTGTTGGCCTAGAGGACATCTCACTGGAAGTGGGGCATGATTCTCTTGGGCCCCCTCTCTCAGCTGCACACTCCCAAAAAAGACAAATTCTTGTCAATTCTGTTGAAAAGGCAACTCTCAACAGTCTTTGGAGCAGGGGCTGACCCAGTGCTATTTCTCTGGTATTAGAATGTGGGGAACTTGGGACTCTTATTCTCAACGGTGGGCCCTGATCACTCATTCTGGGGGATCTCCTGTGGCCCCTCACACCACCGTATCACTGCCACAGCAATGCTCCTTCTAAAGCAAGTTATCCTGAACTCTGTTTGGCGTTTCCTTGATGACTCGGGGGCTTCATTACCAACATCAGCATAGGAAGGCTCTGTGACATAGAGAGAAAGCATTTGGGCCCTCCATCCTTCCTGGGTGACCTTGGCAGGTCGTTGACCTCAGCCCTGGTTCCCTATATAGGGAGCAGGGTGGTGGCTGAGGGTGAAATGAGGGGAGAGATGGGAAAGCACGCAGCAGACTGCTAAGACTGCATTGAACACACTCAAAACATCCAATGGCAAATCAAATCCATTTCATTTATAAGAATAAAACTGAAAAAAAAATACTTATCACTCTGAGCAGTTCTGAAAATGACCCATAGTTTCACTTTCTGACATCATTCCACTTCCTCTTTCTTTCCCAGGAAGCTGATGAGAATGAAATTTCTTTGGCCTTGAAACCTAAGCAGTAGTTTTTTTTTGGAAACTACATGACATGGTCATCTGATTCTTTTCAATTCTATCAAAGTAAACACACATAGTTCAAAAATCAAGTAATGCAGAGAGTTTTTAATGAAAAGCGACAGCCCCTGTCTTCTCACCCCATCCTTCCACCCAGGAATGCTTCTCAGATACAACACCCTTCTTTTTTTTTTTTTTTTTTTGAGACAGAGTGTCATTCTGTTGCCCCAGGTAGAGTGCAGTGGTGTCATCATAGCTCACTGCAACCTCAAACTCCTGGGCTCAAGCCATCCTTTTGCCTCAGCCTCGTGAGTAGCTGGGATTTCAGGCGTACACCACGACACCCCGCTAATTTTTCTATTTTTAGTAGAGACGGGGTCTCGCTCTTGCTCAGGTTGGTCTTGAACTCCTGAGCTCAAGTGATCCTCCTACCTCGGTCTCCCAGAGTCAGATACAACAGCTTCAAAGGTGCATGTCCTGAAATTTACTTCTGTAGCTCTAGCGCATATGTTGATGTTGCTTTTTGGAAAAATTATTGAAGAGTAAAACAAGAAGATAAAGAGATAGAAAGTAGGAGAGGAGAGATAAACAGAAAACCAGGAGTCAAACATTTGAATAAAGGGGAAAAGAATGGAGAAAGTGAAGGGAAGGAAAATATATCTATCTATCTATCCATCCATCCACCCATCTGGTTCCTCAGGGCTAAAGAAGGCAAGATTCTAATTTTATTGAACAGAGTCTGCCTTCTGACATGTGCCCCTTCTTAAGTCCAGTGTTCTTTCGACCTCACTGGGCCTGCAAAACTAATGTCACAGCCCCTCCTGAGGGCTAATGTCCAGTCTCCACTTCTTTTCTTTCCCCCTTGCTTCTTCTTCCTCTATTGCTCTCTTTTGTGCATCCTGAAAAGATGATCTTCCACAAATCTCTGGGTTTTGTTTGTGGGTGCCCAGGGGGTGAGTGATTCCAGGGAGCTGACACTTTGCTCCCTTAAGAGTAAATCCCCAGTACATCACAGATAAATCACAAAAGCATCAAGTTGAGTAAAAAGGTAAGCTGCAGAATGATGTGTCTAGAAGAGCACTAGTTATACATTATCGGTTTTGCCACATATAACTTTATCGATAGCCAAAGAACGTTATATTTGATCAAGCCAAAACTTCAGCAAAGAAATGAAACTGAAACTAAAAATCCAAATCATAATAACTTAATCAATGAAGACATTATGTCAGCAATGCAAACAAATTTTAAAATTTTCAGCCAAGTTAGAAGGTCTTTTTAGTAATAATGGCTTTAGCAGCAGCCTAATTCTGCTGCCTGCCCAGGTCCCTTTTTAAATCATTAATATTACTCAAAAGCATGAATCTGAACTAACACTGTTTGAACATGCATGGGTGAGTCTCCACTGGCTAAATGGTGACATGGGAAGTTGATTCTCATGTAACCAGGACTCCAGAACCTCTCCCAAAGATCTCTCAAGGATCATTTTTACTTTAATATCCAAATAAAATGGCCAAGTGCCCATTCCATGGATGAAGGGAGCCCAGCCCGTCCCCAGGATCTCCCTGAATTCCTGAGGGCTACTCAATTAATTAGTCCACCCTGCAGCCCGCGCTGCACTGTCACTCAGAACCTGGTAGCTGCTGTTCTTGCTACTTGTCCACATGTCACCCCTGGCTTGGAAAACCACTGCACACATGTCATTCCTCCCAGGCTCTGCTCATACAAGCCTTTGTGTTGTACAGTTTTATCGAAGGTTTGGTGGCAATAGGAAGTTACAATACAGCATAATGCAGGCAGCAGTTTAAGACTGCATATTAGACATCACTGCCCTGTAACTGCATGTGGGACTTTCTAACCATGTTCTGATTCACTGCTCTCTTCTTGACCTCCCCCTCTGCTGCTAACCTCTTCCAAGACTCTCCTCTCTAGTCTGCCAGCCTTGGGCCCCCAAATTCCCATTACTTTTCTTGTGCAGACTAGCTCAGCTTCCTCCATCTTCAGTTTCACCCTTCTTACCCTCCCTCACTCGAAGAGACTCATCAGGGTATTTTTCTAACCCCTGAAAAAAAGCTCTCAAAATTCTCTCTCCCCTATTATGAATTAAGTCTGTCTTGCCCTTATGATATAAAAAACACTGCAGTCAGCTACTAGGGTTTGGGGGATTTTTTTTGTTTTGTTTTGGTTTGGTTTTTTGAGACAGGGTTTTGCTCTGTTGCCCAGGCTGGAGTGCAGTGGTGCGATCATAGCTCACTGTAAGCTTGAATTCCTGGGCTTAAGCAATCCTCCCAGCTCAGCCTCCCAAATAGCTGGGACTACAGGTGCACAACCACCACACCTGGCTAATTTTAAATTTTTTATAGAGATGGGGTCTTGCTATGTTGCCCAGGCTGGTTTTGAATTCCTGGCCTCAAGCGATCCTCCTGCCTCAGTCTCCCAAAGTGCTGGATTACAGCCATGAGCCATTGCACCCAGCCCAATTACTGTTTTAAATGGCACTTTCCCCTCTTGCTGCACATTCAGCGATGTAAGAAAAAGCGATGATTGTGTCTACCATTTCTAGAGAACCTAGTAGGTATATATTTCTAATCCTCACAAACCTCTATGAAGTAGTGGACAGTATCATGCCTGTATTATAGACAGGGGCACTGAGGCTCAGAGAAGGTTAAGTGACCTGCCTGCAGTCCCCCAGCTGCTAATCGGTAGGGTTTGACTGTGGACCTGTGCCTGGCTGACTCCTAAGCAGATGTCTGCATCTCTATACAACATGATAGATAACTCCCCCTCCACAGGATGCCCCCCATCCATGCCTCTTTCTTCTATCTCCATTCTTCTCAGGATTCCCCTGCAATGAGTTGGTGGGAGACCAATTTCTGGATCATCTTAGCTGTGGCCATCATCATTGTCTCCGTGGGCCTGGGCCTCATCCTTTTCTGTGTCTGTAGGTGGCATCTTAGACAAGGTAATGGCCATCATCTCACCTGGGTGGAGGGACAGGGGACGAGGTGGTTATCAGTACTGCAGAGCTTCTTTAAGGCAAGAACATTAGTTCTGGGCCTGTATGAGCTGAGTTTGGATTGAGCAGCATTCCGGGTTTGAGCCCTAGCCCCACTACTAACTCATGTCCCCAGGCCTCAGTTTTCCCATCTGCACAGTGAAAAGAGGGAGGTTAACTAATCTCTAAGAACACTTCTAGCCCTAAGTGTGTGAGTGAAAGCAGAATCTATTTCAAGGCACAATATGCTCAAGTGCTTTCTCTTTGCTATGTGGCTATTGATCACAGCATCTTGTCGCTGGAGCTTGCAAGAGAACACACGTCTGTGGAAAGTAAAGAGCCATCTTGAGGAGTAAAATATGGACGCAACCCATGATCAGAATGTTTGGCCACCATGATTGCCTTTCTCCAAGATCACACTGAATTTTCTGGTATTATCCCCACCTAGACCAGAACCTCTTGGCATCCTCAGACATAAAAAAGCAGCCACCTGGAGATTAACACTAACTTTAGATTATCTACAAGTAGATTTTCCACATTGCTGTTCATCTCCAGAAACATGAAATCCTTGATCTGATGGTGTGTTGGTGTGTTGTCTTGAGATCTCATCCCTTTAAATAATGACCTAAGCCAGGAGTGTACCTGGGGATGACGAATATACTGACAGGTACAGCCACCTGCCCCTGGGGCTCCCTGGGCGGGCCTCTCTCCATGATCAAGGCATTGTCTTCCCCATTGCCTCTGGACACAGCCCCAAAATCCTGCTTAACCCAATGCTGAAAGGTCAGGGCCACACAAGAAGTGGAATCTTTTTGGCATTCTTCTCAATCTCTCTTTAGAGATAAGAAAATTAAGGTTCAGAGGGAGACAGGATCTTAATTAAGGTGCCATAAGAGTTGGTAGCAGAGTTGGGACCAGAACTCAGGTCTGCTGGGCTCCCAGTTCAATGTTCTCTTCCCTCTACCCCTTAATCATAATTAATTTTTTTAATACAAAAAGTATCCTGGGTCCCTACACTCTTGAATCCATTTGCCTTCTTAAAACTTTTCATTCCCAGATATGGAAAAAAATATGACCCCAAACAAAATTTTATCTACTCTCTATTATCGTGAGCCATTCCTATTAACAAGCAAGCTATAATTAATAATAACTTATATGTCCAACACATTACAGTTTACAAACTACTTTTCCCATTCTTGATCTCATTTCCTCACAATCACACTTTTGCCTATTCATTTGACCGACGTTTCTGAGTGCCAACTAAGTGCCAGGTATAGTACTAGGAAATGAGGAAATAAACACGGCCCAGATGGTTGCTGCCCTCCGCAGTCAACACACAGGCTCTGTGGTCAGAAGGTCTGGGTTCAAAGTTCACCTCTATAACTTATTAGTTCTGTGTTCCTAAGTCTGTTTCCTCTAGTGGTTCTCCTTTCAAATGTCCTGGACCTGCCTGTTCTCTGAGGACTTCTAAACTCCAAAATCACAACTTTGCTAATTCTTTCTAAATGAATATGCTTTTTCCCCCTCTAGGCAAGAAATGGGAAATTGCCAAGCCCTTGAAACAGAACAAAACAGATGAAGAAAAGATGTATGAGTAAGTGGGGGGAAATCCTTCTGCTTTTTACCTTTGAGAACCACCTGTTCACTTCCCCTCTTGCCTCCACTACTGTACTGTCCACTTTTCCTGTAGAGCTGGCAAAATGTCCTGCCTGACTGATTCATCCATTCTACTGCTGATGGGCATTTGGGTGGTGGGATGGTTAATTTTTTATGTGTGTCTATTTCTCTGGAGAACCCAGACTAACACAGGTAGTGTCCAGTCTGGGGCTGTTATGAACAATGCTGCTCTGAACATTCTAGTGCACGTGTTTTGGTGAACATACACAAGCATTTCAGGAGGGTATAGACCCAATAGTGGGACTGCTCTCTCAGGGTGTGTGTACATTCAGCTTTAGGAGTATATCTGTTTTCCAAGTAGAAGTACATCTGGTACCTACCTCCATCTCCTAATTCAGCTTAGGTGAACACAGGAAGGTGCGATCCATGCACTGGGTTATAGCACTTCAACCCTCTTCCCTCAATCGCAGTCATTCCCTGGGCTAGAGGAAGTGGTTTCTTTAGGGTGCCAGTTACAAATGGGAGGGAGGACCTAGAAAGAGAAGGAACGCTTCCAATTTGTACAGACAAGATTTGAATGTCCAACCCATTCACTTTCCTTAACGTTTTCTTTTAAATCTCCTGACAACAGGCTTCGTCCAAATCGAACACTGACTCCCTCTCTTTCTCTCTCTCCAGGAATGTTCACAACGAATCACCAGTACAATTACCCCCTCTGCCACCCAGAGGTTTGCTTTCTTCAGAAGTCTCCTGTAAGTATATTTTGCTGGTAATAGTTTCATTTAGGGTAGGATAACACATTTATCTAGGTGTCTTAGTCAACTCAGTCTGCCGTAACAAAAATACCATAAACTGGTATGGCAGTTATCCAAAATTGTCTTGTTTAGTTATTGTTCATTTGTTTAGTATCTATCTCCTCCACTAGAATATAAACTCCAGGAAAACAGGAACCTTTCTTGTCTTGTTTTCCACTATTTATCCACCACCTAGAACATAAACTGGGTGGCTTAAACAATAGAAATGTATTTTTCTCATGGTCCTGGAGGCTGGACGCTCAAGATCAGGGTGCTGGCTGATTTGGTCTTCCTGGCTTGCAGGCAGCTGCCTTCTTGCTGTATTCTTACGTGACCTCTCCTCTATGCGTTCAAGCTGGGGAAGAGAGTGGGAAAGCCAGCTCTCTGGTGTTTCTTCTTACAAGGACACTAATCCCATTGGATCAGGGGCCCACCCTTATGACCAAATATGGCCACAGGGCTTCAACATATAAATCTCGGGGAGACACACTCAGTCCGTAACACTAAGATTTGTAGATGTAGCACCCTGTTTAAAAGAGAAGAATAACTTTAAAAGGGGCAGAGTAAGTACCAATGTTAAGCAAAATGGAACTTGGGGGTGTCACTGGGCCTCTCAGTTATTATCAGAAAAACTCTGCCTGGTTCCTTTGACTGGAATGTTCTTCCTTAAGCTCTTTGCACAGCTGGCTTTGCCTCATCCTTCAGGTGTCAGCTCAAAAGTCACCACCTCAAAGAGGCCTTCCTGGACCACCTTATCTGAAGTAGCCCTGCTGATTTCCTTTATGAAATTTATGGCAGATATCCAAAATTGTCCTGTTTAGTTATTGTTCATTTGTTTAGTATCTATCTCCTCCACTAGAATATAAACTCCAGGAAAACAGGAACCTTTCTTATCTTGTTTTCCACTATTCATCCACCACCTAGAACAGTGACTGGAGCTTAGTAGGTACTTAAGAAAAATGTTTTAATTGAATGGATAAATAATATTAGCTGACATTTATTGAGCATGCACTGTGTTTCAGGCCCCGTGCTAGGCACTTTACAGGCATGATCTTATTTAATCCTCACAACAACTCTATGAGGCAGGTACATTTTGACTCCCCTTTGACAGATGAGGACAATAAGGCACAGAGAAGTTAAGTGACTTAACCATGGTCAAACAGCTAGTGATTGCTTAAGCCTGAACATAAACCTGGATCCGTTTAACTACAGAGTTCTTCAGGAAATGAAATGGAGGTAGTATTTCAAGTTCTCTTGGGAAAAGATGAGATTGTGGTAGAGGCAGTTCCAATCCCCATCAAAGGGGGAACTGAGCTGTTTCATGATCTTTCCTTTTGCTATGGACCCATTCTGCACTAATTTCACCTTTTGAAAACACCATTGTCCCCTTCCTTCTTAGTAGGAGATCTGTATGCATGAGCAATTACGGAGAGTCCTGGAAAACAGTGTAAGTCATTGGGAGGGATGTGCCAAAAAGGAAATACTGTTGGTATCACTTCCCCTTGAGAATTAGGATCTGTAGACACTATAGTACTCATCTGGCTACTGACTCTGGTCATTTCCTTTTCTAAGTTTGCTTCATGGTTCCCACGCAGTGCAGTCTTAGGCACAGAGACACAGGAGTCAAGACGTCTGACTAATATTTGCTGTTATCACTTGGGTGGTCCTGAGACTGTGTCGTGTCTGTTTCTAAGTTTCATCTGTAAAATGGGGATCTGGCCCACTAGGAAGTGTGAAGATCACTGAAACACATGAAAATCATGCTGAGTAACTTGGTCCAAAATTTGTAAACACACAATAGCTTTGTATCAAAGGACCTTTTTACTCTCTTTTCCTTTCTTTTATTTTGAGACAGGGTCTCACTCTGTCACCCAGACTGGAGCTCACTGTAACCTCAAACTCCTGGGCTCTAGCAATCCTCTGGCCTCAGTCTCCCGAGTAGCTAGGACTATAGGCATACAACACCACACCCAGCTAATTTTTTAATTTTTTGTAGAGACAGAGTCTTACCGTGTTTCCCAGGCTGGTCTCAAACTCATGGCCTCAAGCAATCCTCCCACCTCAGCCTCCCAAAGTGATTACAGGCATGAGCCACTGTGCCTGGCCTCTAAGCATCTTTTTGTGTCTTCTAGCCCCACAGGAAACCCAAAGTCAGCCACCGGCCACCTACTCATTGGTAAGTAAAGTTAAAAATAAGCAGACCGTTTCCATCCCGAGCTACATTGAGCCTGAAGATGACTACGACGATGTGGAGATGCCTGCAAATACGGAAAACCATCATTTTGAAACAACCATTTCTTCTTTTTGGCAAGCTGAAGACGGTTCGCACAGCTTATTTTAAAACGATCAGAATGGTTGGACTTCGATAGGTCTCCAGGTCCCAAAAGCCAGTGGTAATTTATGAAGCTCTATAAGATAAAGCACTTCCTGAACATTATTTGAAGATACCTTAGCGATCAGATGACTGCAGCCAGAGGAAAGATGCAGATGTTCAGCTGTGAGGACTAAGAGGGGTCAGCCCTCGTGCTTCTGTTGAGGAAGTGTCCGTGGGGAGGACCACTGGGCTCCACAGCTCCCACCTGCGAGAAATGACTCATGTCTGGGAACTCTTTCCCTTTCATTCCCTTGGTTTGCATGGTTCTAAGTGATCTTAAATCTTGGTGTTTGATTGCGCAGAGCCTCCCAGGCTTCTATCCCCAGCCAGGCCCTCGCCAAGCACACTGGTCTTCCCTCCCCCCACTCACCCACCCACCTCCTGCACCAAGAGGCTCTGGGTGGCAGTTACAGCTGAGTGCTCTTGTGTGCAATTCCCCACACCACACCTTGTGAGTTTGCAAGAACAAGGAGCACTTTTTGTTCTTGCAAACCCTCCCCACCTACACACACCCCAAACCCCAGTACCTTTATATAATGTAGGCCAAACTGATCGTAGAGATTCAAGCTCTGACCTAGGTTTTTTCCTGTGCTTACGGGTTGCACTTTAATAATCAATAAAGGACAAAAGTAACCTTCTGATTTACACTTAGAGGTGTCATTTTGCAATAGGTGTGTTGGGGCTGCTACAGGAAAAGTAGGTTCCCCCAGGAGAAATCAAAGGGAACAGGAAAGAAAGGGGCCATTCAGTGTCATATTCAAGATGAGAGTTTAGGAGACTTAACATCCCCTTTCCATAATTTTCATTATTACTTCTTCCTTTACACAGAGTTCTATGAAAACAGCCTCAAGCCCCTTCCTTCCAGATCACCGTCCCTGAGCATCTGGGAGGCAGAAAGTCCAGTGTGATGTGCTGCAGCCAAAGAGACGCAGGGCAATGGGCTGCTGTCCCATTAAACAAGTGCCCCAGTGGCCCAAGTCAGCTTTGTAGGGTCCTAGACCTCATCACTTCCTTCTAGTTGATCAGCTAGAGCCCTAGGACTTGACTCATTCTAACCATACTCCCAAGATGCTGATTTCTAAGCAATATCTGGGAATTCTGGCTAATGAGCAGGCTTGCAGAGAGAACACCATGAACCTGGAAAGGCCTGAAAGTGGCCTCCCCATACAGAGCTCCTTCTCAAGAGATGGGAACTTGTGTTCCTGCCACATTCGAGCTTTCCCACACAACCAATGCCAGAACCGTGGCTTCCTCCCTGGTTCTCTCTTTCTAGATTCTGCGAAGACTTCCAGCTTTCTGTTAATACCTCCTCATTGTAGGCCAGTGGTTCTCTAACTATAGCCTTATGGAACTCTGGTATCCCATGAACTAAAGAGAAGATTCTTTTCCTGAATTATAGAAGAAAAATAAGTCAAAGGATGGAAATGTTTCAAACACATGCCTTCCTCTTATAAATTTTCTGTAAACCCTCCACACACATGAGAAAAATTAAAAACGAATACCAGACAAATGTTAACTCCTCCTTGCTTTCTGGGATACCGCCCTCTCCTGGTTCTCCTCCTACATATCTGGCCTATCTCAGTCTTGTCTGTGGGCCCACCTCTCTCTCTCTCTAAAGCATCTCTTCCATGCTGCTCTTCTTGGGTTCTGTCCTCATACCTGCTCTCATCTCGCTCTAAACACAAGTGACCAGGCGCAGCGGCTCAAGCCTGTAATCCTAGCACTTTGGGAGGCCAAGGCAGGAGGATCACTTGAGGCCAGGAATTTGAGACCAGCCTGAGCAAGAGCAAGACTCCGTCTCTACAAAAAATTTAAAAATTAGCCGGGCGTGGTGGTGTGTGCCTGTAGTCCCAGCTACTCAGGAGGCTGAGGCAGGAGGATCACTTGAGCCCAGGAGTTTGAGGTTGCAGTGAGCTATGATGATGCCACTACACTCTAGCCTGGGCAACAGATATATAAATGATATATATAAATAAATAAATAAAAAATAAACACCCAAAGTTATCTCACCCATGCTCATGGACTTGAGATAGGAACAGGCAGGTCCTCCTCAATAAGAAGTCACAAGACGTGAACCAAGGTCTCTAATAAAACAGGAGGCGATGGAGAAGTGGGCCAAAACCAGCTAGAACCAAGGTGCCCATGAAAAATGGCCTCATGTTACCCTCACTGCTCATTACACTGCTTATAATATATGAGCAATCTAAGGGAAACTCCCACCAGCGCTCTGACAGTTTACAAATGCCATGGCCACTCCTGGAAGTGACCCTATATGGTTTAAAAGGATAAAAAAAACTCAGTTCCAGGAACTACCCATCTCTTTTTCAAAGATCTTATGAATAATCCTTCTTCCACTTAACATAAAATTAAATAGACGGTATAAAATAAGACCACGGGAACTCACAAAGGGCTACTCTCTGTTGCTCTGAGAGATAGCTGCTGCTCTGTCTGTGGGGCAGCCTCCCTCTTTCTCTTTTATTACTTCAATAAATTTGCTTTTGCCTTACCCTGTCAGCTTGGTCTTGAGTTCTTTCCTGCTCAAAGCCGAGGACCCACTTGGCCTTCAGGCCAGACCCCAGTTTGGGGGTCCACTTTCCTGTGTCAGGCTCAATGGCTCCCTCTATTCTGATGACTTCCAGACTGCAGGCTCCGGCAGAGCTCTCTTTGCCACTTCCAGACTGGGTGGTCTCCGGGACATCTCCACATGACTGTCCCACAGGCCCTTGAAGTTCAACATACGCCAGAAGGAGCTGATTACCTCTCCCCAATCTCAAACTTCTTAAGCCTTACTGCTTCTTAGTTGCTGAAGTCAGAAACTAGCACCCTCCTCTCGCCCCTTTGTTTCTAACATTCCCTGACTCCTGTTCACTGTGCCTCCCAGGTAGCTCTCCAGTCACTCCGTATTTCTCCATCACCATTCTGAGGTCAGGCCATTGCCAGCACTTTCCAAGAGAACATCAACCGCCTTCTAAATGGTCTGCCTCTGGCATCTTGCTCTCCAATCCACTTTCTACATGGCAGCCGGTGATTTTCTAAAGTGAACATCTGACACTTTATTCCCTTGCTCAAATCTCTTCTTTGCCCATTAACCTCAAAAAAAGCCCAAACTCCTTAACATGACTTATAAGTTTTGTCAGGATCTGGTCACTGGTTATCTTTTGCCAACTCCTTCTCCCCCTACCCCCTTGCAATCTCCACTCTGCACAAATTTTTTGCTCTGGCCATTTGAAATGACCTTCGCCATGGTCTCTCTCTTGCTCCTGTGCACGATGTTGTCCTCTCTGTATGGAACATTCTTCCCCACCTTCAGATTCTTCATTTTGATATCCTTTCCTCACTACCACAAACTTGGGTCAGTGCCCTCTTGGGTGCTCACCTCTCATAGCAGAAGCATGCTGTAATTATCTACCTTTCCCCTCCACTAGACCAAAAGCAACATGAGGGCAGAAACTGTGTCTTTCTTTCCTCTGTTGTTTTCCCTTTTCCTAGTGCAGTGTCCGGGCACATTGTAGATGCTCAGTAAACATGCTGAATGATCAATTGAGTTAAATGAATGAATGAACTCCTCTGGGCTCTCACAGTTCCCTGTACTTGGTCCTGTGGAAACACTTCTCTCTTTGCATTATAATTGCCTGGTTACTTTCCATCCTCCTTTCTAATCTGGGGGCTTATTTGGGGTGGAAATGGTCTGGCTCATTGCTGTAGTCCCAGTGTCCAGCACAAAATCTGGCACATAGTAGGCACTTAATGAATATTTATTGAATGTTGAACATTAATGGAAAATCTGCCAATCGGTTTGAGCAAAAAACACAAACAAAAATAAAAACAAGTTTTCTCTGGGCATACATAATTTGGTTGAGATTTTTTACTGCATACATGTAATAAAGCCAAGTTTTCTAATGAGAAAATTGTTACTGGTTTGGATGATAGAATCAAATATATTAAGATTTCAAAGGACTTTTTTGTATATTCTAGCCCCACAGGAAATTCCAAGTCAGCCACCAGATAGATACATATTCATTGATAAAGTTAGAAATAAGAGGACAGTTTCCATCCTGAGCTATATTGAGCCTTAAGATGACTATGATGATGTTGAAATCACTGAAAATAAGGAAAACCATCATTTTACAACAAATCCAATCCTGCCACCCTTATGGTTTTGGGGAATGATGCTTTGCTCATGCCACAAATCAGTGGACTATAGTTTTCTTTATAATAATTACTGTCTGATCTTCTTTGAGATACAAACAAGATTGTTTTCAGGAAATGAACCAGTATTACCAGCAACAAATTATACATATGAAGTGTACCAGTTAGGATGCTTTAGGTTACAAGGAACAGACCATCCAACTAAAGATAACTTACGCAATGAGGAGTTTATAACCTCATAAAACAAAAGTCCAGAGGTAAGCACTCCAGAATTCAGTAGCTCCACGACTTAAGAATGTGGACTGACTTTGATTCTCTTAGCTTTATCCTCATGGAGGCAAAATAGCTGGCATAGCTCCAAACATGCCATCCTCACATAACATTCAAAGTTAGGAAGAAAAGGGGCATTTCCTCCCACATATCTCTTTTTATTAGGGACGAAAATTTTCCCAGAAGCCCCAGCAACTTTCCCTAATGTCTCATTGGCCTGAATTCGTTCATATGCTCAGTGTCTTGGTCTGTTTGGGCTACTGTAACAAAATACCTTAGGCTTGGTATTTTATAAACAACATAAATTTATTGCTCACAGTTCTGAAGGCTGGGGAGTCTAAGAGCAAGACACTGGCAGATTCAGTATCTGGTGAGAGCTTTCTCCTTTCTTCAAAGATGGTGACTTCTTGCTGTGTCCTCACATGGTGGAAGGGGAAGGCAGCCTCTGGGGCCTCTTTCAGAAGGGCACTAACCTCAGTCACAAGGGCCCCACCCTTGTTATCTATTCACTCCCAAGGTCCCACCTTTTAGTACCATCACCCTGGGGATCAGATTTCACCATATGAATTCTGGGGGAAATACAAACATTCAGACGATAGCACCCAGCTATAGGAGAGGCTGGGAAGTGAAAATTGGGTATTTTCAGCATTTCTGGCTAGAGGTGGGCTCTGCCACCCAGGGAAAAGAAGGGACTCGCTGTTGGATAGGCAACATGCCATCTCTGTGGGATGATTCACTTTTACGAATACACTATTCATTATTTGTTCATCTTTCAGTTACAATCTCAGAGGTGTTAGAGGGCTCGGGTTTAGGTGTGGTGTCCTGATTCTACAATTCACCCTTCTTCTCTTACAGGGTTCTGACTAATAAAAATAGTTAAAGGATTGCCAGTCAGATGAGGATAATAACAATAATAACAATAGCAACAGT